GTATATCTATACATATATATATATGTGTGTGTTTGTGTATACATACACGCACACACACACACACATATATATATATATATATATATATATATATATATATATATATATATAATGGCATTTTCATTTATTTACCCATTTACAGACTGTTTCATGCATAGCAACTTTTCAAAATGCATAGCAACTTTTCAAAAATTTGTTTATCCTGGTTACTCCTTAGATATATCTAATTTTGCCTTTTTCATTAAGAAGCTCTTAAAATTATTTAACCCTTTTACATACATCTCTCTCTCTCTCTCTCTATATATATATATATATATATATATATATAAGGTGCTTCACAAAAGTTTGAGGAATTTTCCAGTGCCCACAAACCGAATATAGGGCTAATTTTGTCACTACAAATCTCACTACTTCAGTGATTAAAATTGTCTCGCAAGTGATTGTTCATGAGTTCATTTCTAATTTCTGCAGCAATTCCTTTTTAAAAAAAAATATCTTCTTCATTACTGCCAAAGGATTCAAGGGAAATGATGAAAAGAGTTAAGAGTCGAAACAATAACTGTAGGTTTAAAACAGGCTAATAACGATTACTGTGACCACCATTTCGACTGAGCAATCTGATCAAACAAATAAACATGGCGTCCAAAGAGACAGAGTACATCTATCAGACTCGAGACGAAATTAATCGATAAGCGTTATTAAAAAATTATGATTCTTTCCGACGCGCAAAAAAAAGACGAGTCTCGAGACAAGGCCATAAATATGGGCTGCCTATACATATATGAATTTAAAAAACTTGATCATTCCGAATAATATTATCTTTAAAAGATTTAGAGAACAGAGAGTGGTAGACATATGCCTCCACACTTTTTACAGAAGAATTAGAGTGTCTTGGTCATGATTTAAAATTTAATGAACTGGCTGAAAAGTTCGTGACATGATCTTCTTCCCAATATCTGACCAAATTACGAAACAACGGAAATCTTTCTTTCTTTTTTTTTTTTTTTTTTTTTTTTTAGACAGGTCGAGAATATTTTTGTGGTTGTAATTCGGAGTTTTACTTCTCTTAGATTGGTTGCCACCCAAGATAACCGCTAGCGAACCCGCTCTACTCTGATATATGTCCTATAGTTGGTGCCACGGAGAAGGGATGGATTAATGTCTTCCGCAAAGTGAACGAAACAGAGTGGCCCGGAATTCGAACTCGGTTCTCCGATTGCAAGTCCCGTTTCGATATCTATTACTACCTGCACATCCATGGAGCCACATACAAATATTAGAAATAAGTGTAGAGATTACAGCTTCTTTCCCAGAGCCGTTATTTTGTGGAACAGACTCACAAGACTATGCTTCCACAACCACTACAATCTTAACTTCCAGGGTCAATCGTTATCTATACTTATATGCATATATTATTGCGCCCATAAAACAATGCCATTTATTAACCCTCTACTTTTAGTGGCTCTTAGGCTTTGTATTGGGGGAAACAACAGCGTAAAAAGGTATACCATAATTTGCAAACTACACGTGAACAAATACATTGAACAGTAACATTTAAGAAGTTAATAAAGCAGAGAGACGGAGATTATCATCTTTGAAGACTTTGTAATCACCCACTGTTAATAAACGTCGCTCTCCGTAATACTAGTTTTACTGAAATAACTTAATATCAATTAAGTGATAATATTCATAAATTTTCAGAAAATAATCATTTGTCGATTTTAACTCTCCATTATTAATATTATTTCCTTTTCTACTGCATTCTGTTTCAAGGCCACTCAATTGCAATATACTTATTGTTAATTTCACTCAGAGTTGTTTTCTGTTGCCATAGCAGGATATGACAACACAACTATGAAATTTAAATACCCTATTGTTCGGGTATCAGAGTCACCTACAGTAGTAGGATAAATATTTTGAACAGCAAATGAATCACATACACGGGGATAAAGGTTTAGCTAGATTTATTTTAAAATAAAATAAACACATTTAATCTTAGATCTTATTTTTTATTTTGAAATTAATAAAGTACATAAACAATAGATAATTTTAAAAATATATTGGACAAATTATATATTTTGAATAAAATTAATTTGCTAAAGTAACTAATCCCTCAAATACATTAATTCAAATCTAATGAACAATTTTAAAGCCAATAGTAAAATCGGCTTTCGAATTAAAATGTAATTCAAACATAGAAAGATTCAGCCAAAAAGTTCCGGATAAGTTACTGCAATTTGAAAAGAAATCCCTTTCTATTTATTGACCAATCAGAATGCTTTACTTTCGACTCTCAAAAACAGCTAGTACCTATATCAGGATCGATGTCGACCAATCATACTCACGCGTAAAATTAAAACTCTCTCACACCAAGCACACAGACCGTTCAATCAGAGTGAGTCAACTGTTTAATTTTGTAAACTACTCAAAGACATAGATTCATAGATTCAAGCTCACGTATACTTTAATTTCTCCAGCGACCAACTGTAACTTCTTTTCATTTCAAACCGTCTTCAAAGACGAACTTAAAACATTTTGAAACTGCAACTTTGTCGTCTTGTTCTTTTTATTCATGCCTATTCTTGTTGCTTGCTTGAATTTAATTTAATTTAATACGACTTTCACAAAGTGATATTTTTGTTGTTGTTGGGAGATAATTTATTTGGAGTCAAATATAAATAAATGTCAACTCTGTCATGTAATTATGACACAAAATACAGAAATAAACGAAATATAATACAATTTATGATTTCGTTAAAATAATTTTAAAAAGAAAATTCAAAATTCAATAATTATTGCATAATTTTTATATAGTGCCAAAGAAAGCGATGTTTATTCTTCACAAGGCAATGAGAAACATTGGATTATTAGAGTAACATTCTTACTTCAAAGACGAATTGGATGACATAGCCATGAAATATTTCTATTTTCTTCCATTTTTTTCTGACTAAATGTTTAACATTAGAATCGAGGCTGTACAAACATTTCCAAATTCTAAACACAAAATTCAACATAACAAAAACGCAAGAAATGCGACAATGCTATATAAATTCTACAACTACAAATACTAAAGACATTAATCACACAAAATAAGGCTTTAATCAAATTTATTACAACTTAGAAACAGGCATATAAAATATATTTCATGAATCATTTTAAAAAAAATAAAAAATAAAAACAAACTAATACATAAAATATAAACGTTTGACGTTACTATATTTGAAACTATTGTAGAATTAAATTTAAAAATTCTGGCGTTAGCAATCATAGCTCTTCTCAACGTTCTATCCTGTGTAGCACTCAATAAAGAGCAGTTTCATTTTGGATGCATTAAAATTTACGAGCCATTTCCTGCCCCAGTCAGCCACAGGAAAATGATTGGTGAAGATCAAAAACAGTGTAGGACCAAGGATAGAGCCTTATGGCACACCAGCGTTCGTATGAAAGTAACTGGAAGAGAACCCGTTCAGGACACACCTTCATTTCACGGTTAGACAGGAATGATTGAATTAAATGAAATAATCAACCTGTAATACCGTATCCCTGAAGCTTGCGTAGAAGGCCAGCATACCAATCTTTGTCAAAGGCCTTCGCCGTTATCATTGAGAGCTTCGTATACATATTCAGTTATGGCTGAAAATACATCAGCGATAAACCTAGCAAAGCGGAAATCATATTGTTTGTCATATCGGGGGAGGTAAGATGCATAACCACTTCGGCATTGATTAAAGCCTCGAAGAGTTTACCGAAGGAGACTGATAGGACGGCAGTTAAGATAGATCAGAAGGATCACAAGAGTTCTTAAAGACAGGAACGACAGAGTGAGTCGATGACTGTGCTAGCACGAAGTCACAAGTCATCGTGACCGAGGATTTGAGTGTGCTGGCGTTGTTCAGATTTCTGATCACGCTTGATAACACGCTCACTCCCTGCAACTTTAACTAAGGTTAGCTCAGCATAGTTGCAGTATAAACCACAGGTGGGCCCTGTGGGTGTTGAACAAACAAAAATGTGCCTAAACGAGCGTCTGCAATATTATAATAAATATATATATATATATATATATGTGTGTGTGTGTGTGTGTGTGTGTGTGTGTGTGTGTGTGTGTGTGTGTGTTTATTTTTATTACTCCGAACATTATTTTTCATGTATACCCATACTTGAGTAAACGGCCCATTTATTTTTAGGATCTTTCTCCCATTCTTCGATCCAGGAAAAAGTATCTTGTGGCCTGTGTTTCCCTTTCATTTTGAGAGAATACAATTACCAATAACAAGGCAATACATCATGTCAGTCTCTTTGTCTCTCTCTCTCTAGTGCTTAGTATTTACTCCATCATCCAAACATTAGAAGCAAGCCCCTCCTATCGTCCCTAACAGCATAAAACCCCTGCCTTACCACCTCCAGACGTTTGCTTCTTGATACCTTCTCCCGCCAACCAGAAGCTTGGCCATTTCCCGCCATTTTATGAGATATCATCAGTTTCTAAATAACTGATCATTAGAGATTGTAATGGAAGCTTTGCCTGAAGAGCTGATAACCGGGTCGACCGGACAGAGATGAAGCGTAATCGATAGATCAATAAGTTGTGGTGATTTGTTCGTGGATACTACATTTGCCGAGAAGGAAGTCATTTGCATATTCATGCTTATTTGCATGCTCATACTCATACTAAGAATCAGAGACGTATGAATATGCAAAATATATATATATATATATATATATATATATATATATATATATATATATATATATATATATCAGAGAATTTTAGAATGAATATAATAGCATTTTCTAAATACTTCCAGTTGCTAAGGACATTTTGTTTTGTTATTATTAGTTACTTTGTTTTAATAACTTCATTTTGTCTTTGCCTTGAAAAAGTCCACATTGGACCAAATGTGTCGACTAAAATTACAGTTTTCCTATTGTCTTTTACATTTATAAATCTATGTGTGTGTGTGTGCGCGCGCGCGCGCGTGTGTGTACGTCTTACTGCCCTATCACGTTGAAACACCGGTTCTCGTAGGATCACCGAAGTTAAGCAACGTCGAGCCTTGTCGTTATCTAGATGAATGACCGCATGGGAATGCCAAGTGGTGTAAGCTCGTGTGTCCGAATGATGTAATGGATAACGGGTCGTGATTGTTAATCAGAGACCCGACTTCCAATTTCAGTCGGCTTTTGATATTTACTTATGGGCAAATCTCCTTGGGAAAGGCATGAATCAACCTCTTCCCCTCCCAGCTATGGCTTAATTAGTAGAACTTGTATCAGTATAAATCATTACGTTCAGAAATTCTTACAATCTAAAACAATTTCTGTCTTTAAAAAACCTGCAAAAGGCTGATAAAACGTAAGAAACAAATCAATAAATCGATCAATCCCTATATATACATATATATATATATATATATATATATATATATATATATATATATATATATATTATTGAATAAAATACCTGTTCCCTAGTGACATAAAGATTTTAATTTGTTCGCTGAACTTATTGTTTCATTTGTCAACCTTTGTTGGATTAATTAATGCCAAATTAGCTCTCAGTGAGGATCAAACTCAATACTCAGTATTTATGGTAAACTAAACTAACTTTGTTAATCATAACCCACAGCGAAAGGCCTTTACGTACAAAAGGTTTATTAAGTGTATCGTAATAAATAGACAAGAAATAGAGGAGGGTAATCGTGTTTCACCAGTCTGCTAATTGAGAAGAGTCTGTTTGTATGCGAATCATCGATATTAGAAAATACACATCTACCAAACCTCCAAAATAGATTCATAAGTTATTACTTATTGAACTTTAATTTAAACTTAAATAAGTCTAAATTAATAATTCCGTGATATTAATTACATAATTAATTTAGTTTTATGAATTAAATTAACTTATTCTTAATAGTTAATTAAGAAATTTAATAAGCAAATAATCTAAATTAATATAGTTCCATAATCCCGTGCAGGCATTTACAGAGAGAAAAAAATGAATTAGAAAAAATTAAATAAATATAAAAACATTAGATATAAAAAGCCAGAAATTGAACTATGCTGTGATGAATAAAAACACATATGAAAAAAACAGATCTAAATCTGTATATGTATATATATATATATATATATATATATATATATATATATATATATATATATATATATATATATATATATATATATATATATATATATATAAAATTAGAGAAAGAACTGTTCGTAGCATTTGCATTGAAAGTACTTAATACAAAATAGACCAATATATTATTATTATATTTTTTATTATAAAAGATTATAACATAATTATAATAATTATTTCAACATGGTTTTCTTATAATCTCTTATATATATATATATATATATATATATATATATATATATATATATATATATATATATATATAACGAACTAAAACACTTGTGTTAAAAAAGTGTGTGTTAAAAAGTGTCCAATATCGGTAGTGTTCCATTCAGCGTTTTATTGTTTTACGATATATATATATATATATATATATATATATATATATATATATATATATATATATATATATATATTCGCCCCAAGCAATGCGATAACGCCCATAAAACGCAATGTTGAAAAACCAAAATCACTTTAAAATGTTTAGGCGTAGACCTTAGAAATAGAATTTAGAAGAAACCAGAAACCCAATCCTAATCTGAAAACAAGGCAAAATATTTCCTCCTGTTACAAAGATTGAGGAGGAGTGTGAACCGGACAATAGATGAACTTATCTACTCCTATTAAGGAAAAAATACAAAATTAAATAGTAAAAATTCCAGAGTTTATGGGGGATACGATAGAAGTAGTTACAGTTGAAGTAGAATTTATAGACGTAACCGGAAACCCAATCCTAAACTCCTACATAGTACCAATGATATCTTTCCCAAACCCATCCACGGCTACCTCTTCACCCGCGCAGAGGATCTGAAACACCAATAAATACTCACCAATGACCAAGCCACATCAATTGGCAAAATATTACGTTTTAAATAAATCGTTTCCAATTCCAAAGCCGAAATCTTGCGACGAACATTATCACACACAAACCACAAATTCGATTAAAACTCAAATTCCACAACCTACCTTCAAACAGCAGATGAGAAATGATTAGTAATCCGAGTCTTATCGACAACATATCCACATTCCAAACTCTCTGCAAGTGAAACGGAAGCTTTGTTTCGGTCTAAAATTCGCTTCCAGTCTAAAGAAAGATGACAGAATCACTACCTTAACCAAGAACCGTAATTTCCGCCGTACTGAAAATTAAAAAAGGGTTCGTACATGGCATATTGGCAACCACTCTCATTAGTACCATTGAAACTACACTGCCCAGGAGATACATGCACTAAAAATCTTATCATCATAACTTCTTCCAACAAAGGAGGCGGCATAGTTTTAATGAACACAAACATCTACATTAAAAAATTAGAATCCCTCCTGAATAACGACAACGCCTACACTAAAACCAATGAACAAACAATAAACACTGACACACATAGATACAACAAAACAATAAAGAAACTTAGAAAACAAAAATAAATCTTGGTCTAGATTATTAGAGTACTACCCCACTATACCCAAACTATATGGATTATCCAAGACACGTAAATCCAACATATCCATCAGACCCATTAGAATTAATAGTTTACCCCACAAGTTAGCTAGAGCCATCACAAGAATTGTAACTCTGTTCCCAGGCATCAGCAGTACAATACACATCAAACTGTCGAGTGACTCACTCCAAAGAGTACGTGACATAAATATGACTAAAATGTCTATGTTTAGACCTCAAATCACTATATACCAATATGCCAATCACAAAATGCTTTAATATATAAAGAAATCAGTTCAAAAAATCCAAGGGAAAGCTTTCTTTATCCGTCCACAAAATTATCAAAAGATTTGAAAATGACTGTTTCTTTTCTTTCAATAACATTTTCTACAAACAAAAATTAGGTTTATCCATGAGATCAGCTTTCAGTGATGTTCTCGTTTGCCTCTTTCTAGAATCCGCCCTATTTAAACATATCAAACCTAACAGCTCTACTTACTTGAAATACATAGATGACGTCATCTGATTTTATCCCAAAGATGCATTCAACCTGCCGATTCACACCGGTCCGCACAAACCGATTTTTAAAGTTATAAAAGCTTAGAGAACCGTTTGTTGGCTTATTCGAAAATAATTTTATATATTAATGACTAAATAATAATTAATACCATTGCTGTAATAAGTTCTGTGGAGACTGAAAGAGTGTTTTCTGTGATTAACATGATTTATGATCCATTTGCAACTAGGAAGCGAATATGCTGTAAAATTGCGGGTTGAATATCTTGCTCGGAAAAAGTAATTTCTATTCCAATTCGTTAGTCATACAAAGTTGCTCAATATAGGGTTGTGTGATGAATGTTCATTTCAGTTTAAGTTCAAGAGCTGGAGATAGTTCTGGATCTTTCTGCGATTTTATTAATATTTGGTAAGTGAATGCCCGAGTGTTGTAATCGATAGCGGTTCGATATGAGAAATCGGTAGTTCTGAGTTCAAATACCTTTTATAAAGGTATGAATTCATTTATTCCCACCAGTTACGGGTTAAATAGTAGAACTTGTATCTGTAAAAATCATTGTTATTTAATTCTGTGATTAACAAGATTTATTCTGACAAAAGAATTCGTCTTGAAGTTAAAAATATGGCAAATTTTCTGGTCATAAATTTGATTGGTCTTCCATTGGATCTTTGGGACGCCAGCGATTCAATTCAAATGTGTCTAAGAAACCATAACACAGCTGAAATATGATAAGAACAGAATTTTAATCTGGATATAGCTTAATAAATAAATGTTTTTTTTTATTAAATTATCAAAATGGTTTAATTCTTTTTGATACTATATAAATTGATTTGTATCCATTCTCAGACAGAAAAAAAAATAAGTAGAATCTTTCTTTCCTGTTTTCAAATACCTGTAACTCTACCTTCCGATTTACGCTTTTTCTGGTAAGTCTATTTAATTATTTACATAATAGATAAGGTTTATTTAAGGGTATTTTCACATAGTCTCTCAGACTTTGTCACCTCCTTGCAATTTAGTGGCTTTATTGCCTTGCTTGGGAGGAAATGATTTAAAAAATCTTAAATACTTTCTGAGTAATTTAATAAAGAAAACCCTTAGTTTTCTGTAGAACTTTGTAATATTTGTGATATTTTTCCGTTATTGGTTCATTTGGAATTTATTCAAAATGTTTTTATAGAGCCTGTATATAACCGTAATATTTTTTACTCCTTTTTTTATTATTGACACTGAAGATAAAAACGCTAATTCTGTTGAAACTTCTGGCTATTAGATTACCATATCATTTATTCATTTTTATAACCTAATTTACAAATTTGGGTTGATGTAAATAAAATCTTTTAGTCATAAAAATGGCCAGTATTTTTATTCGTTCATGAAAATATATTCAATAAACTTTTCGATCCTGAGACACTTATTAGTTAAAGTTTATAATCAGTCTTTAAAAACCGATTTCGACTTTTATTTACTGAATTTTACGAGATGTTAATCAGTAACTTCAATTTGTTGATACAACTAACCACACAAGAAATTAAGCATATACCGAAGCAAGTTATAGTTTAAAATTAAATAAGCCAGAAATATTTGTAAGTTTTATATTTACATAGGATTACCATTAGATCGTAAGAATTTATTTCCTTTTTTCTTTCAAATTAGAAGCCTCTTTCGTGTCTTGTTTTATAAACCATAGCAGAATTCTTAGCAGCTGTTTTTTGTGGGTTTTTTTTCGGCTTTTTTAGGAGCCTTCTTTGTTTTGGGAGCATTTTTAAGGGTAGTTTTCTTGGATTTCGAAGCGGGCTTTTGGCAGATTTTGATTTTATAGCATTTTTGGCATTAATAGTTTTATTGTTTTGTAAACATCTCAAGCTTGGGATCTGTGGGGAGTTTAAATAATACAGACACTTGTTTGAAAACTTGAGCACTAAACTGTGTAGATAGGAAACTTCCATATACTAAATACACGCCGCGTTCAGGAGGATGAGGAAGCCTATTTTAGTAGCGAGCGCCAATGC